ATCTGGTAGAGGGGTATGAGAAATCTTACTAAAAGTGGTTACTAAGTTCATAGTTTCTATTTTGTATGAGAATTCACTCCCAGGAATAAATATTTATACTCCTTAAGAAGGTAAAAATTATGGGGCTAGGGAGATGGCTGTGCACAGACTGCTCTTCCAGAGGACTGGGTTTGATCCCCATTCCCCCATGGCAGCTCACAACTCATTTGTAATTGTAGTTCCAGGAGATCCAGTGCTCTCTTTTGCCTCCAAAGGCACCAGCCATGGATGTAGTGCACAGACACACATATAGGCAAAACACCCATACACATAAAATAACAAAATATATTTCAACAAAATCAATTTAGAAAGGTATATATAGAATGTAATGGAAAAGGGAGGACTTAAAAGAAGGGGTAATAGAAAAGTATTAATCTTCAAGGTGATGTTAGTAGATTTGAAGTCATAATAGTTACATACAGATGAAGTATTTTTAACTTTTTATAAGTATTTTTAATTGTAGCATTGAATTGATAGATATTTTTGGTGGATTTATATTAAACCAGAACCCTATAAAGAATTTGGAAGTAATTAGGGTGTTTAATTTTATTTTTATATTGTTTATTTTCTTGCCATTTCCTTCAGAACACTGGGATGAATCCCATTTTGCCCTGGAATTGTTCCCGCACTGGCAGTGGGTTTGCCTAGCACACTGCCTCATGTACAACAGACCAAGCTCCTAATATTTTGTTCCTCTTTTGTTCTGTATTTTCAGGAATGTTAATGAGGGTGAAAAAGCCATAGATTTTACATACATGTACATAAATTTGTGCAGATCAATTACAATTCCCTATTTTTATGCTTATATTATCTCATTTCTTTCTGTGTTTTTTTTTTTCTGGTTCTATTTTCTGGATCTTAATTCTCTTGTTTTGCTTTCTCCTTAGTTCAGTTAAATCTGATACTTGACATTGCCATGAATTTTGCTCCACTATATCTGAAAATCATATGGAAATATCCAGCATCAGTTGGTCTTTTAATATTTCTTTAAATTCTAAAAAATCTATATGAAAGTGCCTTGTTTTCTGTTTCTTTTTCTACTACTCAAGTTTCTTTTTTTCCATGCTGAGTTTTACCCAGCTCACATTTATAGCTTCAAAGTTTATCATCCTTTATCAACCCTCCCTCCCCCCTGGGCATGTTAATTTACATTGCTCAAAGTGAAAGTAGATCTCTAGCATGGACCTGTAGTCCCTGTCCTCAGGATGCTGAGGTAGAAGGGACCCTGGCTGGGAATTGAAGACCAGCTTGGTCTACATAGCCAATTCCTAGTTGACCTTTCTTTTTAAAAAGGCAGGGCATGGTAGCTCATGCCTTTAATCCCAGCACACAGGAAGCAGAGGCAGATAAATCTCTTTGTGTTAAGGCCAGCCTAGTGGTCTACAGAGCTACCACCAAAAAGTGTATTTCTGTTTTAAAACAACAGTCTTCTTGGACATAATTCAGAAATGATATGAATTAGTATTGACTCCACTGAGTTGCCCAAGCACCTAAAAGTAAGCATTATTTTTGCATGCAAGGATCCCAACTAAAGTTCAGAGGGAATACTTCATGCAAAACTGATATAACGTGACAGGCATTGCTTTGTATATCACTGAGAACTTATCCCCTTTATTTAAAATTAGTTTTCTAGGCCTGGAGATAGAGCTCACTGATGGTAAAGTACTTGCCTAGAATGTTTTGAGGTCATGGGCTAAATCCCCAACAATAAATAAGCACAAATAAAGTTAGCCTTTTAAGGTTTAGGTTACTTACATATGAGAGAATATACAAATACTTCCCTTTTTATGCCAACTATAACAAAGATAAGATTTGTTGTCTCAAAATGGATAGGCTCTCAGTGACATACTTAGCAATGCCTGTCGTGTTACTCTGGCGTCTCTCTATGCATGGCCTGGGTTAGACTTGAATCAAGATCCTCCTGCCTCAGATTTCCAAGTGCTAGGATTATAGGCGTGGCTCTGTTTACATTTCTTTCTTACGGGGTTGTTATCTAGTACTTTATGAAAGACAACACAAAAACATCTTCAATGATCTTTTTGTCTTTTTTTTACAGTGTTAGGGACACAACTCAGGCCTTGGGCATGCTAGACAATTGCTCTATCATTGAGCCATGTGCCTAGCCCAAGTTTCCACTGTCTCTATATGAAGAATAAACTGGATTTTGGACTAATGGAATAGTAGCTGATGTTTTCTTTTTCCTCTTTGAGTATTACCAAATACTCTGGCTCTGACATGCATGTTTTCATATGATACCCACCTATGAAAAACTCATTGGTAACACTAAGGTTATTTCAGTCCACACACAAGGACATTTCAGACCATTTCACATCTTTCACAACTCAGCTTTCAGATGAGTTTGTCTTAACGGGTTCAGTAGGAGGGCTTATCTCTATGGAGAGTGAATATGGCATGCAAGTCTTCCTTTAGCCTTCACTTCACTGGTTACATACACTAGTTGCATCGAGCTTGAAATAGTTCACGCTGTTGTGTTTTTTATGCCTCAAAATAAATTCATTTGTTGAATGACTTGACACACAAAATCTCTTTAAATGTCCATATTTCTCCTGCTTTCTTCCTTGAAATTAAGATAATTTTAGCTTCCTGCAGTGGAAAATCCACTCAGTAATATTTGAGACTCAAAGGGAAAATACAAGTTATAGCTCTCTAGTGTTAAGTTCCTCTCTAGTGTATACAGCAAACAATAGCCATCATTAAGGAGGATAACATGAAGGCAAGATGTACTACTGGTACATACATACATATAATCCTATAGTTGGGGGGTGAGATAACCTAAGGTACATAAGACAACCCCATTAGAGAGAGGGAGGCAGCAGGAGGGGAAACATTAAAAAGAAAGTCTGTGTTGACATTGTTGCCATTGACTACGTTAGTCCTAAATCCTTTCAGAAATAAATGACTGTCTCCAGAAAGTTGTGTCATAATGCTAGAGTGGAAAATGGCATTAGCATGTTGTGCCCATTCTAACTTTACCCTACCTCAGAACAGCTTCAGCAACCACATGTGTCTTTATCTTCCAGTTAATGTTAAGGTTCCTTTTTTTAAATTCTTCATGGAATGCTAGGGATTCTAAAGTTTTCAGATGAGGGATGGAGGTGGCACACAGCTGCAACCCCAGCACTGTGGAGGCTAACATAGGATGGTCTCACAGACTGCACAGTGAGTGCCAGGCCTTTTTTGAAGGAGAAAGATGTTCACTTGCCATATATTAACAGATGTAGTATGAATGGTGGAAACTGCAGGCTACTGCTTGATATGGTAATGCTTTTTCTTTAACAATAATAAGAACAAAACTAGTAAAAGCTTTAATTTTTATCCTAAACTAAAAGATTTTCATTTTTAGATATTTAATAGAAATCCCTTAGTTACCTGAGTCCCCCTTTGCCCCTGTCTTACCCAATGATTTTTTTTCATGTTATCAAATCTAAATATCAGGGAAGGTTGGCACCAATAATTTTCTAAACTAAACAAAATTTTATCATTCTTTCGGGTTTATAATACTCTTTTAGCCTCAGAAACAGTCACTCTTCGTTATATAAAAATCGGGGTTTGGAAAGGAAGCTGTTGTCATTACCACTTTCTGGAAATTATTTTCAGTTTTAGGTTAAACATTGTTTGGGGTTCTTTTTAGTTCCTAGTAAAATAATTACGGCAATTTTTAAAAGCAAGTTGTTCCATTCATTATAATCTCTTTTTATAATTTAATATTAAATGACCAAGCATTTTGTTATAGTCTACATCTCTTTTGACTTTGTTACTGTACATTTGATAATACCATGCACATTTTGATATGGGGGCTGAAGAGATGGCTCAACTGTTAAGAACACTTGATCCTCTTCAGGGGCTCTGAGGCATCTGTCCTCCATGGATGTCTGCACTTATGTCCACAGATACACACACACCTACACACAACTAAAAATAATAAAAGTGAATATTTTGCTAATACTATCAGTGACAGTAATTGAATAAAACCAACAGTTACTCAAGAGTGGGCTGGCAAGATGGCCCAGTAAGCATACTCACTTGCTGCTAAACATGCAGACCTGAATTCATTTCCCAGGACCCAGATGGCAGAGAGGGAACAGACCCCTGCCAGTTGTTCCTGCATGCACACACAAAAGAAATAAATGTAAAAATGGCTTCAATTTGAATTTAAGAATTATACAGTTGAAATACAGGGTGAAATTATCATTTATGAGTATATAATATTAGGACTCCTTCAGATTTCAGAATTTGTTGGCTCATAGCTTCAGAAAGCACAAAGAGCTTACCAGATAAGAGGTTTTGTGTATTTTTAACACTGAGCCATAGAATACATGGCTACAATATGTTCTGTGGATATCAGTTTTCAGTGTCAGAATATGTGTAATTCCAGTATAGGCCACAAGGTGGGAGTGAAAGGCAAGGACTTGTATCCAAGCAGCCCAAATACATAATGTATTATCTTTATAAACCTTGTAGATGCTTATTAAGCAAGCAGGAGCTATAGTTTGGTTACTTCTCATGTTACATTTGCATTTCTTATTTTAAGAGATCTATAACAAAAGACAAAGGCATTGATTTACATATATAGGCCATTATTAGTGAATGTCAAAGGACAAAAGTGTCAGAAACATTTTGCTCCTAAATTTCTGGGTATAGAGGTGCTTGATGATCAGAGTAATAATTTTCATTAGCTGAATATAAAAAAGTCCCTTAATTACCGTTATTACACACAGTAATCAAAGAAATTACTGAAAATACTTTATTTTTCTTTTTCCTTGATCTCAGAGAAAAAAAAGACCTATTGTATTTTTATGTGTATGAAACGGCCTGTACTGTGTGTGAGAGAGCAAACACACACATTGATGTGATTGGTTTTCATTAGGTGAACAGTGTACTGTGCTTTCTTGTTTGAATTTGGAAGCATGTAAAGTGTGATCATTTCCTTTCATCTTCAGGTGAGAAGACAAGAAGTGTCTTCTGGAAAAGAACCCTCAAAGGACCTCAGCCTCCCTTTACATCATGAAAGGTGGTTCTAGATCCTTCTGTGCCAACTCAAGACTTACAAATATGCACTATTTTGTATATTTTAAATTTTGTAACAATTGTAAAAGAGGAATAGTTGACTGTTAACTACTGGAGTGGACCTGCATGTGAAATCACCTAACTACATCACAGTTACAAACAAAGCTAGATCTAAAAAGCCGAATTCTCCAAGAGTCCCTTGTTTCAACAAGCCTCGTATTGTGGCCATATTGTTTGACATGAATGAATCCTAATATGAACCAGAGTGAAGAGTAATTAATACTCTATTTGTGATGTTTACAGAGAATATCAGTGTGACAGATGAATAAGTAGATACACTAACACACACTGCATTTATGAACTAGACCTTTTATCATTTGCTTTGTGCCTAGCTTTTCAAATATTAGGATTGTATTTAGGACATTTTCTACAAATTTAAATTTTATTTTTAACATTTAACTTTTCTATATTTCTGTGGTCCATAAAAACTATGCTGTATATATTTAATTATAATAATTTGAAGTTATAACCTTACATTTTAAAATATTGATTTGTTTTTAGGGATAATATAGAGAAGACTTTCTGGGACCTTAAGGAAGAATTTCATACTGGCCTAGGGTGGGGCCTGTGGGGCGTGGTCTTGACTAATGGTTGATGTGAGTGGACCCAGCCTGCTGTGGACTGTGCCACCCCTGGGCAGGTGGTCCTGGGTTGAACAATGAGCAGGGTGAGCAAGCCATGAGGGGCAAGCCAGGAGGTAGCTCCCCTCCATGGTCTCTGCTTCAGTCCCTGCCCTGCTTGAGCTGTCCTAACTTCCCTCAGTGACCATCTGTGACATGGAGTTGTAAGATCTAATAAACCCTTTCTCTCCCAAGTTGCTTCTAGTCATGGGTTTGTTTGTTTGTTTTATCACAATAGAAGCCCTAGTTAGGTTGTCTCTTTCTTTGTGACCCTGAATGGTATTTCTAACACTATGAAAAAACCAACATTATCAGCCATATGTCAAAATTCAGAGTTAAATCTGTTCTGCTGCTTCTCTTTGATGCTGTTCCCCTCTGGAGCCAGTAGCTGTTTAGAGAATTCTGGAAAATTTGAGATTTATGGCCAGTGAGGATGGTAAAGTAAAATTAATGGTCTCTCCCTCTGTCTTATTCCTTGGGCCCTAAGATATCCTCTTCTTTTTAAGTATGTGTGTGTGTGTGTGTGTGTGTGGGTGTGTGGGTGTGTGTGGTGGTGTGTGGGTGTGTGTGTGTGTGTGTTTGGGCTTTTTTTTTTTTTTAACTCTAGACTGGTATTTTGGTAATTGATTCAGTAGTTAAATATTAATAACACAATGACAGAAATTAAGTCTAGCATCCAGACACTTCAGTAAACAAAAGGCTAGTCAAATGATCATTTAGAAGGATAGATTCTCTTTTTATCCATGATTTGGGGTATTCTACAGGCAGTTCCCTAGCAATATGATTTGCAGTTTTCACTCTGGGAGATGTTGCAATAATGATGACTAGCATATCCTTAATTGAAGATCCTGATTTTTCTATGGCATAGCATTTAAAGTCATTGATAGTGTAAGTTCTCTTTTTTGCCACTACCAGCATTTATTTCCAATAAATGGTGAGGGGGAAGAAAAACCTTTGTATATAGATATAATTTGTATGTCCGCACTTGCTGTTTTCCAATCTTCTCAAAAAGAACTCTCAATTTCCCCATCTTAATTTTTGTAATGTTCATGAGCAATTGTTCTTCCACAGAGACTGAAGATAGTAGAAATAAGCAGTTTCACTTAAAATAGGCAAGCTGTGTATGTCTAGAATTCAGAAGCATGCTCTTTGAACATCAGCATCTTATCAAAACATTGTAATAGTGATGCACTCTTTGTTATGCAGAGAACATAACCCATTATCAATTATTTAATACTTTGACCATTTTTAAATTGCATAAGTCTAACTCTTAGTATGTATCTGTCAACCTGAACACTGAGTGTTTAACTTCAATTTCTTCCTCACGGAAGCTGCTTAACATTATTCTTATGCTTTATATTAACTGTGTCACAAATAAGTAAAACATTACTCTTGAAATGTTTTAGATCTGTATTAAATTGAATAAAGCTTTGTTTGGTCCAAACAAAACACAAGATTTTAAATATTATGCCCTGACTGTATAGCTCTATACTATCTATACTATATATTAGGGGGAAAGAATGAAGACACAGTTTAGAAAACATATACCTGTTCAGGGTTTCCAGATACATGTGTCATTACCATGTCTCTTCTGGTCATTCACTCGGGGCAGGAATCCTGAGAAAGGATAAAGGTAGAACTGTATGTTTAAGCAAATATTTCCTAGGAGAGAGTTAGTAGTCTAAAAGCAGGGTCCTATTTCATTGGCTATTAGACAAGAATATAGGATTAGCGTATAGACAATCATCAGCTCTTTTAAGTCAGTCTTCATGATAATTTGCCAAAGCAGTCTAAACAGCCTATGTAAATTTGGAAATCTAATTTTCTTTTCATTTTGCTCAGTTTCCTTGCAAAAATAAATGTTATTGAAACAAATTGTAAAAGCTGCATGCTCACTGGCTTTTGTCTCGGTGAGGTATTGGGATGACAAGTGTTTCATGGACTTTGTTTGATTTCATCTAAGCTCAGACTTCTAGTAGTCATCGGAATCTTAGAATCGTACTCTTACCACATGTACAGATTAACTCAAATTACTTAAATGTAGCTAAGCTCGTATACCAGCTAGCTATTCCAAAAGAAGATACTGGACTACTTCTTACAGCTGACTGATGTTTCCCTGTTTGCTTTGGAGGGGGATTAGGTCAACTGTTAAGAAAGTCACTCCAAGCACAGTTCTGCCAGCTTGACCCTCTCTGTGTAGAAAGCAGCATGTTCAATTTAACATAATGGCTCTGACAACACTCTGGAGTTGACTACCTGGGCTTTAGTGCCAGATTTAGCTTCACAAGCTGAACAGCCTTGGAAGTAGCCATGGAGTTAACCTCTCCATATCCATTCCTTTGCATATAAATTAGAGATAATAATAGTGCCTGAGTTGGCGTTCCTTTGAGTATTAAGTGGATTAATGTACATACCACAGTTAGTGCATGGCACATGGAAGTGCTATCAGTGTTAATATTCGTTGCCATTAGTAGCAGCTGCAGATGCTAAAGCATTTACCTTGTTCTCCTGAAAATGAGTTGAGAAGATATTTCTTCTCAGGTATTGCAGAGCTTTACTCCTGTTTCCTAGCATTTCCTACGACCCTCAAGTTGACTACCAAGAAAAGTGACTACTTGAGAGTAAATGAACTTTGTCAACCTCAAAGGTCAAAGAAATTCAGCAAAACAATTGAGTTTGGTCTCAATTACTGTACTGTTTCTAGTCACAGCCAGAATGTCTAGTAAGTATGGGTTATAATTCTAGATCCTGTGAGGAAAAGAATATAGTATCATATGTGTGCCAGGCACTAGGTGGGATATCTGGGTAAACAGGGAGCAGAACATGGTTTCAGGTGCCATAGAAACCTGTTTTAATGGGGGAGGGGAAGTCTGTTTGCAAATATAAAGATGTTCAGTCCTCAGAGTACCTAAACGTCATGGGAGAGCCATCCAGAGAATCAAAGTCTAGGTCAAGGTGGGAAGGACAAGTAAGAGTTAGGCGAAGAGCTACACATTGCAATGCCTATAGCCCGGGCTAGCAAGGCCAGGGCTGGAGTACTGAGAGTTTTGGGGTAAACCTGGATGCCATAATGAGGCAGTCTGAGGGAGAGAAAGGGGGAGATGTGTAGGTGTGTATGTAATGCTACAGAATGAACTAAAGAAGGTGGAGGCATTGTACTACACACCATATCCAAACAGAAGGCTTTTTCTGTTGGAATGTACTATGGCAACAATAAGTGTCATAAGACCCTAAAGATCAAAACAATATAAAGAAATTGGCACTTGTTGAATGCTACTAACGTAAACAGACTGTGGAAAGTGCTATGTATATCCTGTACTCTTATGCCTGCTTCATTGGTAAAGTCTTCATTTGTGAATATATGACTTCACTAATGACTATTAATCTGTTGAATAAAATGTATTGCTGCACGAATAGTACTGCACACTTGTAATTCCAGCCCTTGGGTGGTGGAGTCAGGAGGGTTAGGAGTCCACTGCTAACCTCACCTACATTGGAAATTCCAGGCCAGCCTGAGCTTCATAAGACCCCCATCTCAAAAACAAAAGCAAATAAACAAATGCACTGCAAAACACATTGGCTTCTTGAAGTGGCATTGTGGAACCTATGTTTTTTCCAGTATCTCGGGATCATAAACATGAACTGTGCTTTGATAATTGTTGGGTGTGTTTTGGTTTGCTTTGGTACTGTGAAATATATCTCTTGCTATATTTATTACACTGTAGCCTTTGTTGGCTTTTTTTAAAAGATCTAATTTTAACCATGGGTATGTGGGTATGTGCATGAATGTGGGTACCTGTGCAGGCCAGAGATATAGGATCCCCTGGAACTGGAGTTATAGGTGATTGTGAGCCACCAGTGTGAGTTCTGGGAAATGAACTCTAGTCTTCCTGAAGGGCATGTGTACTCTTAGCACAGAGCCGTCTTTTCAGCTCTATACTCTAGTGTTTTCTGAATTCATAACTCCACATTTTTGGTTTACTAGCCTCCTCCCATACTGCCAGCATTTGCTGACTTCTTGTCTTTCTTTAACAGCTCATATTTCCATTTAATTTGCTATGATCTCTGTCACTCTAACTGGTTCCTCAGAAGTTCTCCTTGCCAGCATGTGACTATACCCTAGAGATTTTGTTGGAGAAAAGCTTATTATGAATGAGCTAAAGCAGCTTTGGTGCCCACCTCATATCTGCATGTTAGTCAGAGAGCCTTTCTAAATATGAGAAATGATATATACACATCGTTTTATTTCTCTTTCTTTTTTCTTTTTTTTGAGACAGGGTCTTACCATATAGCCCTGGCTATCCTTGAACTTGCTGTGTAGATCAGGCTGGCCTGGAATTCACAGAGATCCACCTACCTCTGCCTTCTAAGTGCTGGGACTAAAGGTGTGCTATACCACACCCAGCCATATTCACATGTAATTCCTTAAAGTACATCCCAAGATATCAATCTCTTTTGCCTTCACTGTCTTCTTTTTTTCCTGATTCTGACACCACTCAGTGTAGACAGTGACTAAACTGACTAAAGTTATACCTAATAACACATTGCTATTAGGGGAAATGAATTAACTTATTCCTGTAGTAAATGATAAATGCTCTAATTATTCATATTCATATATATATATTTAAACTTAGAATTGTGGCCTCTGTTACAAAGTAAACATATAAGCTACAATCATTTTTGTAAGTGTAAAGCAGTGTAATTGAGAACAAGATGCAAAGCTTATAGTAGAAAACCTAGGAGAAAACAAAGCAATTAAGTTGCAGCCTGTATGCTGTTTGGTTCACCTGCAGGGGACTGCTATTATCCTCATGGAAGATGGGAGCAAACATAAAAATACCAGTTGTCTTCAGTTGGTATATAAACCAATAGAAAAACAATAGTCCTCTGCCTAAAGCTGTTTCAGCTGTTTTTTTCAATGATTTGAGTGTGACTATTTCCCTCTGTATCCTTTTTCCTGCAGACACACAGTGCTCTGTGCCTATACAGTGTACTGATAAAACAGAAAAACAAGAAGCGCTGTTTAAGCCCCAGGCTAAAGATGATAGAAACAGAGGTACGCCGTGTATTGAATCTGTTGTTACACCAAGAGGACTGGGCCGAGATGAGGAAGACACCTCTTTGGAATCACTTTCTAAGTTCAATGTCAAGTTTCCACCTATGGACAGTGACTCTGCTTTCTTACATAGTACTCCAGAGACACCGAACATCCATACTCCTGCCACATCTGAGGCAGTGTGCCAGGACAGATTTAATATGGAAGTCAGAGACAACCCAGGAAACTTTGGTAAAACAGAAGAAACTTTATTTGAAATTCGGAGAATTGACCCCATAACTTCAGCTATAGAGAACCTTAAAATAACTGACAAAACAAAACCCTCAAATCTTAGAGCTCCGTGTTTGCCAGCTGGAGACCATAATGTGTTCTATGTAAATAAATTCCCACTTCAGGACCCGCCTGATGCACCTCTTCCCTCACTGGATTCCCCAGGAAAAGCTGTCCGAGGACCACAGCAGGTAACTGTTTTGCATTAACAAATATTTTATTATGTGTGAACACACATTTTGTCATACATGCACAGATACGAATCTCTTTTAAGTTACCAGACATCCACTTTAAATTAATGACTATCCATAGTTGAGGCTTTCAGTAAAATATGTAAGTTATGTAATAAAGGACATGAATTTTGAATATGAACATGATAAAGGTCTCTCGTGGGTTTATGGCATGGCTTTACATGCTTAGTCCTTCAGTCACAGCTTGTTTATAGCAGTATTCTAGTGGATGGTTTATTCAATTTGATAATGTGAAACAAATACTAAAAGCTATACACATAACAATACTAAAAGTTATACACATAACAATGTATAATTTTCCATAAGTAGATAACTGCACCAAATATTAAAAATAAACTGTCATTCAGCCTACTTGTTACATTCTCAGTTATGGTAGTACATAGTTCTGTAAGGTTTAGTGTGGTTGCTAACCTGACACTTAACAGACATCTTACATATTTTTTTCAAATAATGAGTTATTTGAAATGATTCGTATGAATGAGTTAATCAAATGTCTATTTACTGTTTATGAAGCATGAAGACTTTATAGCCCATGAATCTAATCCTACCATCCTGTCTTTCAGATTCAGGGTTTTTTTCACATAAATATTCTTTTTGTTAGGGAGGAAAATAAATTTTGTTTAGTTCCTAAAGACAAATGAAAATAAATAGAAGCTTGTGGGGAAAAAACAAAATCCTCATTTGAACTTTTGAACATTTAGTTTTCTTCAATATAGAAAAATTCCTTTGGCTTTAAGTATTCTTAGCAGCTAAAGGTCTTTAAACAGTGTGTAAGGGAGGAACAGTCAGACTGGAGTACATTTCAGTAGTAGGTAAAACTAGGGGTTCTGACAAGTCTTAATTATTAACTCTCTGCCTTCTACCCTGTACCTTATTTCACATCATGGTCTCAGCTATAGTTGCTACCAAATGAAACAATTAAACAATTTCATTTATTGCTAGTGGAATTCCTGTGGAGCTGTGAACTGCATCAGTTCTAATGCTTGTTACTCTCTCTCCATTATATCTCTTGCTTGTTCTTTTCCTAGTCAGTCTGTGCATTCATGTTTCAGTAGATGGCACCCTGCATTGTACATTTACTTTCTATATTGCAGCAAGGGAAACAGCTGGTATGTGATTACAACTTGATGGAAAAGTATTCAGCTTTAAAAATTCAAGAGAATTGGTGTTGAGCTGTCACAAGTCATGGGGCATAAGGTTAGATAATTGATATTGTGGCAGAAAAAGCAAAGAAATTGGTTTGGTTTAAAGGCCACGTTACAGTTGTAGTTTGCAAAAATATTTATTTAAATGAGTATTTTGAACATTACTCTTTGGTATTAACAAAGCCCATGGGTACAATTCTTGAGTGGTCCACAGATAGTAAGAAAAGAAGTTTTGATTACATACTTTATTTTTACTTTATATTAATCATCATTACCAATTATGTATTTTTCACTTCAGTTTTCATAGCAGAGACTAAAATCTATATCGGCTGATTTTTGTTCTGTGTGATTTTCTTTTTTTATTTTTGCTGAGTCAGTAATCAAGCTTCCAATTAAATTCTAAGAACAGATCGAATCTGAACTAAAAGCTACTGTTAGATTTGAAAAGTAAATTGTCAATGGAAGATTGGCTTACCAAATTTAGGAACTGGTTCACTTTTAAGCTAATTTCTTGCTGTTTTATCAATCTTAATAAAAAATACCTTTAATCATTTCATTACTAGCCACCACAGTTTTGCATTAGAGTGTTTGTTTTTTTTTTACTTTTTCATTAAACTACAGCCAGTAACATTTGAATCTAATTAACTCTTAACTAATTCCATTTATAATTATTACTGCTTTTCTGTCATCAGGGAAATTTTTCAACAAAAAAGTGCTTTACCCCAAATTTTATGACATTTATTTTAGATATTTTTAATTTTGTGGCAACAGTCACTTCCCATGAAAATAAGTTGAGTCCACATTCTAAGGTGTTTGTAATAACTCTTCAATGTGTCTTGCTACCAAAACAGAATTTATATATTAAAACTGCTGTACACAGCTGTCCTGCAGTGCTCATTATTAGACAGTGATGCCTTGAAACCCAGATACTTCAATTAACAATACTGTTTATGTAAATACTTAGCTAACTAGAATGAAGTTAAAGGTGTAAACACTGTCAGGTGCCGAACTAAACTGTGTTTCATTAAAAACATTAGTAATTGGAGCACAAAGGAATCTCTTTGAATGGTATTATGAGGTGACTCTCTTAATTTAGCTAGGTCAGGGTAATTCACCTGTGTCAAGGTACAAATAAGTTGTTAATAATCGGGCTTATACAGTCAGGAGAGTTAGATATTCTTGTCAACATCATTTTTAAGTAGCTACTGTTAAACTAATTCCTGTGTAGTATTATTCTAGACTTCTTTAAAGGATATTTACAAGTTTTTGTTTGCTAATAAGTACACTGGAGCTGGTTCTATTTAATTACAACTTTCCAAAGTTCTTTAATTGGGCAACTATTGACAGGTTTTTATTTTATTCATCTGCAAGAAAGAGTGAGGCCAAACTATAAAACAGGCAAAGTAAGCAATCAAGAGAACATGTCTCAGTTTAAATATTGTCGAGTGATTTAATATTTGAATTCTTTTTAAACTGACAAATGGAATTTGTGTAGTAGTTTAAAAGAAACTTTTCTGAAGAAGTCAAAATGCTTATTATATGTGATTTGTTTATTTGGATTTTGAATTGCCTTTAATAAAAGTGTGCTTGTACATGTATTATTACAATTTAAGGTTCCTTAAATTGTGAAGTAGAAAATATAGAACTTCATAAAGTCTAAAGTACTGGCTATTGTTTCAAAACTATTGCCATTGAGATAACTGAATATTGATTGGAGAGATGGCTCGGTGGTTAAGAGATAACTGAATATTAACGACTGCTGGTGTTAAACTGGAGTATTTTTAAACACATAAGGATAAAATTCAGGAGTATGTGGTTCAGTTGTGCCCACTCTGAAAAAGAAATCTGCTTTAACATTAGATAATTTCTGATAAAAGCTCATATAAAAGTCATTCATATATTTGGATTTGAAATTCAATGCAAGTTGATTTTAAATACAAATAACAAAAGATGTTTTTGTTTGTTTCCTGCAGCCCTTTTGGAAGCCCTTTCTTAACCAAGACACTGACTTAGTGGTACTAACTGGCACAGACTCGGAATGCCTTAAAGCTCAAGTGTGTGAATTCTGTCAAGAGCTTTTCCCACCGTCCAATACATCCAGGAGGGATTTCCTCCGGCATCTTAATTCACACTATCATGAGACTTGAGTCACATTTGAAAACAGACATATTATGTTCTCTGATGATCCTGGATTTGTAATGCTGGAGAATGCTTGCTTGTAAGCTAGATTTAAGATGGTTTATAAAAGAAATTCAGTCATAGCTATTTGAATTTTTTTCTAAACTTGTTACCTTAGCTTTTGAGATCATTTTGTCTAAAATTAATTCATTATATTCATGTTTACACTATTACAATAATTCAAAATTATGCATGTGACTTAGAGTTACATAATAATTTATGTCTCAAATATATACAATTATTGTTTGACTCGTGAGATGTATTAAATTTGATAATGCCAAATGTTTATAGGATATTATGTATAGGATTTCACTTGAATTTTTAAATTATTTATGCTAAAGATAATGTTCTTTTAAAATACATAATATAATTTACAGAGAATAGCAGACAATATAATTACCTAAGTAAATACCAAATTAGACATTAGTTGCCCAATGAAAATTATTTAAACATTTTAGATCTTTTTAAAAATAATACACATGGTTTTAATTTTTACTATGTGTATAGATGCATGATTCAATGAGTTATATTAAAATTTATGTTGTGATCATTAAAATTGTTCTCTTTTTCTGAGGTAAATAAATAAGTGACATTTGGGGAACGTTCATAAAATTCATGTCTCAGAATTTATTACACATTAGTAGGTCACTTTAAAATTTAAAATGATCTTTCAAACTAAGCAGTCTAAATTTTTTCCTTTTATTGAGAACAAATGCAAAAGCCTGAAAGGAGAATCCATATTTATTAATTTAGATTAGAAATGTTCAAATTCGTGTTGAGAAATTTGCTATTCATTGTTAGCAGCCTGATTGATGGCCACTGGTCTCGAGATGTCTGAGAGAGGGTACCAAGTATGCAATGCTGCAAAAAGTGTTCAAAATGAGACTTCCCTTTCTTCATGATTCTTACCATTTGGGCTTCGCCTACCACCCACCATCCCCAGTTTTTAAAAATGGTTGAGACACGGCTTCCATGTAACTGTCCTTGAGCAGTGTGTCATACTGGAGGGTTTAGCGTGGGGGAATTTGAGCAGGCCTCTGTACCCAGTGGAAGAATGAGAGCGGTACCTCGACTTCTCAAGGTGCCAAACACATCACATTGACATCTTCCTCAGGAAGGTGACATGGCGGTTATTAGGTATTCACTGTGAAGGGTTCTGAGGCATGTACATCTTTTCTATTGCCATCAGGCTGAATGGAAATGCCTAGACAATTATCCAAAGACTCTCCTCTCTTCCCTGTACCCTCAGTCCTAGCCTCCCCTCACCACACACACACACACACACACCCTCAGAACTTCCCAGTATGTACCGGTCAGGATACATACATCCACTGCCTCTCAGAAAGGAATTCTTTTTTTCCTCTCCTCTCACATATCTCCCTGGCTTGCTGACAACCAGAAGAACCTCTGTAAGTGGTTCTTAGCGCCCAGAAAAGTGATTCAGAGTGGTCCACTACCCACTTCTCTGGCTATCCTTTCGTCACCACTTTAGTAAGAGATGGGAATTTTAAGATTCCAGCAGTACCCAAGCTCCAACTTGTTAGGGCGGAGACACTATTGGGCCGCCAGAGAGGGGGCTTCTGTCCTGCTCTGCAGAGGTTGGCAGGAGCCGCAGCTCCAAAGGTAGAATGGACACCGGCCAGGTCTGTCCCTCGGTCTTATCACTGAGCTGGTGCCCTGGCTGCCTCTAGGCTTCTGCTAAGCGTGGCCGGGTAAGAACAGCTCCCAGGTAAGAAGGCTACGTGCTCAAAACGCTGAGTCTGAAGAGAAAAAAAAAAAAAAAAAAAAAAAAAAAAAAAAAGCCCCCCCTGCCGAGGCGAGGCAGTTGTGAGCGGGAAGCCTGAGAAGTGGGAGGTGAATGTCCTCGGGATGGCCCCCCCGGTGCAGCTTTCCCCGGAGGCTGAGGCTGCTGCCAGCGGGGACATCTGCTTTCTTACACTCCAGCCTGGTTCACCCCGCCCCCTCAGCCCCGGGTTGCGTGGTTATTTCACCAACACCGGGGGAGGGAGAGCTTGAGGAGGTAGAAAGGGATGGATGGAAGCTTAAAAGATTTTCTTCCCACTCCCCCCTCACCCAGTCCCCTCCTTTCTTCTTTACATCTTTTAACCTTCAAGGTAAAGACTTTATAAATATGAAACAATAAGGGAGTCTGCTGGCTGGCCCGCAGGCCCGCCGTGGGCTGGCGGCACTGGCGGGGCTGCCGGGTGCCCGCTTCTCTCTTCTCTCCATCCTCCAGAGTCGGGCCGCGGTTCGGCGGGTTCGGCTGGGAGCTGGGGCCGGCGGTGAGCGCTCATCCCGTGGCGCCTTCGCTCCGGGGCTGCTGCCTCGACAGCTGCTTGTAGCTACAATAATTAGACTGTCAGTGCTTGTTAGAGGAGAGAGGGGAAAACACGCTTTCGACAGCAGATTCCGAGACTCCCCAGTTTGTTAATTTCTAAGAGATCTTTTAAAGCATTAATTGAGGTCTCCCCAACTCTTCCCTCCCGTCCTTCTCCCCAACTCCTCCCGTCCCTCAAATATCTTTAGGAGAAAATTCTCTCCGCGTGGAAGCAGTGTTTCCCGCAAAACTGCCAGCCCGCCCCTTGCTCGCGCGCGCGCGAACACACACACACACACACACACACACACACACACACACACACACACACACACACACACATTCTCTAGTTTACATATGCATATATAGGCACACACGTATACGCAAGGTTAACTCGGCGGAGCACTCGTCCAAATAGGCACCGAGATTGCATTTAAAATGATAATAATAAATAAATAAATCAACTAGGAAGGAAGGGGGGAGGGAAGCAGAAGTCGGGAAGA